ATATATATATATGTATATATATATATATATATATATATATATATATATATGTATATGTATATATATATATATGTGTGTATATGTATACATGTGCATATATATAAAGAGAGAGTTATTTTTTTTGGATAATTTGTTTATTAATTGTTTAAAACATTTAATAGTTAAAAAATGAAATGGCATTGGGGTTTCTTTGCAAGAACTGTTTGGGGATGTAAATGTTTTCTATTTGAGTCATAGATTTGTTGAAAGAATGGGGTTTTTGTTTTGGATGTGTCATGGCTCTCTCCCCTTGGCCAGTTGTCCTGTGTAAACCATTAGCTCTCTGACTGTCTGCCATCTATTACTCTGTAATATGATAGAAAGCACCGAAGAGCCTTCTCGGCCCACTCCTGCACCCCTGTTCATTAATTAAAGTGCAGGGATTGGTCTCGGCAGACAATCCTGTTAGATTAGCCCTTATCTGTCGGGCCGATGATCCCGGGATTTCATCTCAGTCCTCAGATTGATTTCAGGGAAAAGCAAAACAAAACACTGGACAGTCTGTCGATGTATATTCTGGAGTGCTTTGTCATGATTTGTTTATTTTACCCGATTAACTTAATGCTGTTAGCCATGTGGCATCTGATCTCAAAGTCTTTCCATCTCCACAGAGGTGAGGATCTTTTGTATGTGAATATTAAGTTGCATCATTTTTTTGTGAGAATTTATATTAGTGTAAATCAAATAGTAGGGACATCAGGGTATTGGTGCTAGTTTTACAGTGTCTCAACCAGGAAGACCGGGAATTATTTGGTGCAAAGAAACCAGGCAACTGACAAAATGCAGCTGGTCATAAACTGACATAAAATCTAGCTTTCATTTCTTTGTCTTGTTTTCCATTTCGCAAACAAAGTGACACAGATTCATTACAACTAGAACAGATTTATTGAATGATATACGGCCAAAACATTGTCAATGTTTCTAAAGGTCGGAGCACTTTTTCCACCCTTTCTCGTTTTCTCGCTCTCGCCTTTTTCCACCTGCGTTAAAAGTGTTGCTTCCATTTGATCACATGACACAGTAAGTGTGTGTTAGCACCTTTCAGTGGCTCGCAGTGGGAAGTTGGAAGTCATTGTAAATAATTTAGTGTTATATGCAAGGAAGAGTTGCTCTATAGTGCAAAGTGAGCAGAGAGACGGGGGAAATTGATTTCCAGTGTTTACATTTGATGGGTGACTGCTTAATGAAAGCTTGACCTATAAAGGTATACTGCATTTGAGTGTCAATGCAGGATCACATGACGGATGGTTACTTCTCTATGGTTTAAAGCTTTCTGTGATTGGAAGAAGAGTTGTCTACTGCAATTATTAACTTACAATGTCTTCTCATTGAATTTAATGCAGTGATTCCCATATTTATTGCCCATTTTAAACCAGAGACAGTGGGAGGACTTTGAAAATTAAAAAAAAAATTTTTATTACGTTATTGAATTTTGAGTTTTATTGAATGAGTGTTTTAACCACTGAAAATTGTTCAAGGCAGATTTGTTTTCCACCATCCAATCATTCATATGTCTCTCTTTTCTTCCTTTTCAGTTAGCAGAGTATCTGTCAGGCGCGGGCTGCTGTCATGGTATATGACGACGCCAATAAGAAGTGGGTTCCGGCTGGTGGATCTACAGGCTTTAGTCGAGTCCACATCTATCACCACACTGGCAACAACGCCTTCAGAGTAGTGGGCCGTAAAATTCAGGACCACCAGGTAAGAGAAAGGGAACTGTGGTGGCAGTGAGTTGGAAGCTATTAATTAGCATGATGGATTGACAAAGAAATTCTCTAATTAAGTTTCCATACTTGTCACAGGAAAAGAAGTCGATATTTATCCTTAGTTTTATTCTCCAAAAAATAAATTCATGTCACCTGTTACCACAACTTAAATGCATGGTTGCAAATTATTATTGCTTTAGAAAGTTCCAAACATTATTTTGATAAGTTCTATTGAAATAATAATATTGATCATGACATTAATGTAATATTGTGTATAATCTAAACAAATTTTCTGCATTAATTTATTTAAAAAAAGATGTAGTAACTTAAATGAAATTAAACTACATTGACCATATGAGGAATGACTGTGCTAACGCTGTAATATCTTCATTGACAAGTACAATTTACTTCATTAACTGCTTATGCTTAATATGCATATGCTTATGCATAACATGCTTAATAATTTACATTTTAGCATGTGCTGTTAATTTGAAATGACATAGATAAGACTTTTCTTCTAGTTTTTTGGAACCGCTTAATTTGAGTAATCGCTTAAAAATTGTTTATGCTACAAATTAAGTTCTAACTCAATGTAGTTTGTTTGAACATAATTTCATTAGAAGTTGTCATAACTCAAATATTTATACAAACTGTTGCATTATTTAAAAAAATTGTTTTTGTAGTGTATATAAATATTAATTTATTTTTTGTATATACTCATTTATTTATAAATTAATTTATACTAAATAATTTTATTTTAAATCACTTTTAAGCATTTAGGATGCAGTATGGCACTTCTGCTGCTTTTTAGTGTAGATTGTTTTACAGTTTTAAAATGGATAGCTTAGAAATAAAAAAAACTCATTGAGCCTAAATTTTCCCTTTTAATTTTATGAACAGTAAGGTATGTGATTCTGTAATTTTATAGTGAATATTGTCACAGATGAAGGGTGTTGTTATGCCGTCTTTTAGAATCTAGTCAGATATGAGTGTCGTAAAGGCAGTCCACATCCAGTGGGTTTAACTGAGAGGCAGTCTGCTTGGCCTTGTTGGCTTCTCCTGCAGAGAGGGGTCTGGTTTCACTGCACTGCTTTGATGACCCATGACACAGAACATGGGAGGTTTGAGTGGCTCACAGATCAGCACAGCGTGCTTTAAAGAGAATAACATCTGAGAAATGCTCCTGTTCTTGTTGTGACAATCATCTTTCCTTTTAGTGGTTCATTGTGAGGTTTCCAGGAATAGTTCACACAAAAATAAAAATTGTCATCATATACTCTGCGTCAAATTGTTCTAAACCAGTATGAATTTCTTTCTTTTTTTTTTGTTGTCATTTTTAGTGGGATCCTCTTTCGCTTTCATTATATGAAAAAAATAGCAAGTAAATTGTCTCTTTCTCCATTTGTGAAAACCACAAGTTTGATTAAACAATGGTGTTTTCATTTAAAAAAAAGGCTACATGAACTGAACAATACTTCTTTCCTATTCAGGATTTGGGAATGTAGTTTTACTCAGTCGGAGTAACCTTGACCTTAGAAATTGTTTTGAATTGCAGAAGAAGCCTCTTATTTTTCTAGCTATTAAAGGGATAGTTCACCCAAAAATGAAAATTCTGTCATTAATTACTCACCCTCATGTCGTTCCAAACCCGTAAGACCTTCGTTCATCTTCGGAACACAAATTAAGATATTTTTGATGGAATCTGAGAGCTCTCTGACCAACAGCGTATGTTGTTCTGTATCAGCCACACCACACGATACATTGTTTTACGTTCAAATCAAAGCAAACACATCGTAGAAAACATATCCACGTGGCGCAGCTTACACAGAATAGCATACACCGTTTCCGTTCAGTGGATACTCTCCAAAATGGCGCTAGGGTGACGCGGAGGAGACGAATTGTTGAATAAAGTCTTTTTTTTTTCTTTTTCTTTTGCGCACAAAAAGTATTCTCATAGCTTAGTAAAATTATGGTTGAACCCCTGATGTCACATGGATTATTTTACCGATCTCCTTGCTACGTTTCTGGACGTTGATCGTGGTAGTACCCTTGCTGTCTATGGGAGGGTCAGAGAGCTGTCAGAATGCATCAAAAATATCTTAATTTGTGTTCCGAAGGTGTACGAAGGTCTTACAGGTTTGGAACGACATGAGGGTGAGTAATTAATGATAGAATTTTCATTTTTGGGTGAACTAACCCATTAACAGATCAATAACCCAATCTATTTCTTGACCTGAGACTGAATATTTAAAGATTTGTGGGTCAAACAGAAATTTAGCGTTGGAAACTTGTGATCAAAACATTAAAAACCCCATTTATTTCAGAAGCAAACATTTAGTTTTTCTTTCTTGCCTTCAATATTGTAGTTTAAAAATGAAAGCAGCTGTTTAACAGCAGTTTTTTGCTTACATTGAAAATTTAGACTTCTATTGATCATGCATTTCTTTACCATGTTTTTACAAACGAGCATGCCACTGATGTGGTCAATACAGCTTAATTTGGATTTATATTCTTCAAAGTGATAGTCCTTTTTTCTATTTTTCCCCTGAAGTCCACCTAATAATATGTCAAAGTTCTGTGCATCAAAAACATCTCAAAAACAACCTCTTTGCATTTGAAACGAGTAACAGTGCTTGCTTATGAAACTATTTATTGGATAATTTTGTACTTTTGATTATGCTTTTCATTTTTAAGTATAGTTGCTGCTGACCCGTCCTTGTAAAGTCTGCATTGTTTCTTGACATCATCATGGACTTATTTGTATGCTGTATCCTGATATAACCAAGTCCATTATATCCATGTGAATAGGCAACCAATCAATCTCTGTGAAGGTTACTCTGTAAAGGCTGTGTTGAGTCAGACTTTAAACAACGAATGTTGAGTGTTCGGCTGTATTGTCACTGTGTTGAAACATCTTTTTAAAGTTTAGAGTGGCCAGCACTTGTAGCCGTTTCATTTTATCCTTATAAGGATGATTTTATGTAAGGCCGTTAAAAGAGTTTTTTTAATACTTCTATCCCACCAAAAAACTTTAAAGGGGTCATCGGATGCTGAAAAACACAATCACTACTTAGCATTCTGATGTCCGTATGCACAAAGGCACAGATCCCTAAACAAGACCACATCTGCAGATGAAACGTTTTTTAGTAGTTAAGCATTTTTTAAATTTTAACTAGCACCTCATGACTACACCACGTAATGCACGAGAAGCTGCAAAAGACACAGGCACAAGTGGAATGTACAAAACATGGTGACATTAATTTAAGTAAATATAATGGGCGATATATTGCGTCACCAAAAATGATTGAGGTCATGTACATATATTGCGCGATAAGTCGATATATTGATTATTGTGACAGGCCTAGCTACATGCCCTTTTACAAGTTGTTTGAACTGAAATGTGTGTTGGCAGTGTGTGTACACAACCACCCTATAATGATAAAAAAAAAAAATTTTATCTACTAAAATCTTTACCCCTTTCTCAAATCGAGCCGATCTCAGATGCCTGTCTGTGTAACGTCACAAAAACAGGCCCCCTCCCACGATAGTTTGATTGACAATAGGGTTTCAGCACAGACTGGACTGGCATCTTACCTAAGACCTGCCTGAGTGAGCTGTCATCAGTCCACCATTGTTTCACCGCCAGAGCAGATGTAGACAAGAATGACTCCTATGCGATTGAGGTGTTCTGTTGTTGGATGTAATACTGAACATAGCAGTCATCATTTACTCCTGAAATCTGAGCCGCTGAAGGTGGATTACATTTGTTTTTGAAGGGAATGCGCCCCCGAGCTACATAAATTAGTCTATGGTCGCGCGAATCATTCGTGATCCAGCTTCACCTACAGAAGAAGTGAGTATAAGGGTTTTTAATGAATCTTTGCAAATCGCCTTTCCTAATAATGTGCTAATAAGTTTCACGATGAATGCGGCTAAAGTAAACAGTCCCTCAGAGAGCAGCTCGGAAGAGAGGGGCGGGGTCAGCAGAGCTCATTAACATTTAAAGGAAAATGCTACAAAACAGCTTACTCTGAAAAGATCTGTATTTGACAGGGTAAAAAAGGTGTTTTTTACACTACCATTGAGAAATTTTAGCCAAACTATGTTACAGACTTTTCATTAAGACCCTAAAGAATCATATCAACCGATGACCCCTTTAAGGACATACATGTAATTTGTAGGTTCATTCCCATGAGTAGTGTTCAAAGGAATAGTTGCCATTTTGCTTAAAATTTGCTCGCCCTCAAGCCACCAAAGATGTAGATTATTTTATTTCTTCATCGGAAAAGATTTTGAGAAACTGTTCCTTTAACATTTCTCTGTTTTAGCATCCCAAACAGCTTGGCATAACAACAAATGTCCAACCAACGACGTGAGTTTTAGGCGGCGATATCCATTTATTCAGCCAGTGGCAGACAGAGAGTGTTTAAGAAACCTTTTTGAAAAGAGTTTTTGCTTTTCTGTTCAGAGGCATAGAAACTCACTTTTGTGTGCTAAATTTAGAGTGTTTCACGTAGGGCTGGGCGATATAGCTAAAAAATGTATAAACAATATAATGTTTCATATCGTTCAGTATCGATAATTATTGACATTTTTATAACCTTTTTTAAAACAAAGAGCAATAGAAAAAAATGCTTAAATTTAACCACTGTATTTTTAAATTAACCAATTTATTGAGACAACAAATATTTTCAAACACACAATAAAAATTAGACTATCTAATTTCTAATGTTTTATATGCAGATTAAATAGGTCTTAATGAAACTTTTGGCTTGTCTCCCGAAGCCACAGGAGGGCGCAATGAGCAAAATAATGCAGCACATTTAAATTGTCAATGCAAGGAAATAAATGTCAATAAAAAAAACCCTGCATTACGTCTAAATTAACTCATATAAATCAAATATATTACAATTATCCCAATTAACTATATTACTTGGTGGAACACCCATATGTCAAAAACATTAACAGCATCATGTGTATATATATATATATATATATACATAAGTATGCATAAGAGCCGAATCGCCCATCACGCAGATTGCATTTAAAAACATAAGAGACGCAGTGAAAAGAAATAAAACTCCACAAATTCGCGACGTGTTTTCTAAAAGTTTAAACTGTTTTAACTTTGCATAGCTACATCTCTTGTGTGAGATGCGAGTGCAGCAGTCATAGTTGTCCATCTAAAAATGCGCTGAATATGCATGTGTGTGAATGGCTTGGTTTCGGTTTTCCCCTAATCAAGTTTTTCTCCTTGCATTGAGCATCTATATTTCTTTAATATGTTTAATGCATAACACAGCAGCGTTGCGTCTCGTGGGCTAGACTAACAAAACATTCAAATGAAACAACGTCACTTACATCATCATCACTGCATCTCGCGCACCACTGATGACGCTCCCTGACGCACTCCTAACATTCAAATGCAATTTTAAATTCGACTGATATAAATTTTTTTATTCACAATCTCCTCATCACAGGCAGGCAGAGCACTCAATTCAGCATGTGTTTGTGTGTGCTGTCTGTGTCACTCATAGCACGTGCCTATATCGAACATTTTTATATCGTTATTGAAGAAGGTGTACCGTCAATAAATATCGATAATGTTTTATCGCCCAGGCCTAAGCCCTATTCGCACAGGATTAGTATTACCTGGTGACCTCCAGTCATTTGTAATAATTGCGGAGGTTGTCTGTGATCTTAATCCCGTGTGAATCGGCCATGTCTGTAATTTGTAAAGTAAAATTCCCCCGCAAATGACCTACCATATTTCGCCTAACACCGAGGTCCTGTGATAATATCAGTCCCGTGCGAATCGGCATCTCTGTGATTCGGCCAGCATTGGCGGGTCGTATATCATTTTTCAAGGTTTTTGTTTGCTGTGCGCCTTTTTATCTATCTTTCGCGAAGAATGGAGCTGAGTTGGAGTGTTTGATAGTATTTTGGGTGCTGTCATATCACTACACCATACAATTTGCAGAAAGCTGAAAAGGTTTTCAGGTTAATGTGTTACAAATAAATCAAGCATAAAGCTTGAGATATTATTTTAATCTGGTGAAATGTAAATGACACAGGGCACGAAACTATATTCGTTTATTTTTTTTAAAAATCCATCTGGACCATAGAACGGGACTCTCAAAGCCTTGACATCGTATCCGGGAGATAAGTCAGTAAATTCGAGTGAAATCACAGCCTTCGCTTATCCCGTGCGAATGCACCACACGAAATTCAGATGTGCAGGGGTAATTTCAAAATCACACAAGGTCCCCAGATAATACTAATCCCGTGCGAATAGGGCTCTAGTTTCACGTCACGTAATTCACTTCACATTGCATATGTATTTAATTAGTGTCTGGCCTGCTTCTTTTTTTTATCTGTTCATTTCCTGTGAAGAAATGAATCGTTAAAGAAACCTTTCTCTCTTCCATTGTTTAGGTGAGGACATTTTTCTGCACTTTTAGTTAAACTTAAAGGTAACCTTTATTCAGCACTGACCGTGGTTGTTGCGCCCTGCTGCACAAATGGCAGAAATGCTGAGGGGGTGGTGACACTGTACATGACTCATTGCTATTTGCCGTGTTTCATGAAAAGCCTATTTCTGATTCTGAGAGCACCTAGGCCTTTTTAGTCCTGCTGGTTATGTTAATAATTCATGAACGACACAATTATCACAGTGATATCTGAAGATGGAGCATATCAGATTACTTCAGGAAACTTACTTGCATTTGTTGATGAGCCATTTATGGTGGTTTAATGAGTGAAATGAGTAAAGAATTGAAGAGCTGCACAAAAAATGTCAACACACCTTTTATGTTTGACCTACCAAGATAGCCTTGTCATCTATATATATAACTGACTAATGTCTTTAGATCTATACTTGCAAGTGTGCCAGTAACATGTCATTTAGTGACATGCTTGTGATATATTCTGTGTAAGTGGTTGGAGTGGGGAAAAATTAATATATGTTTCCTGTATATATGGAAATTTTAAAACCATATGAAAGAAAATATTGTCTACCATATATGTCAGTTGGTGTTTCATGAAAAGCCTATTTCTGATTCTGAGAGCACCTAGGCCTTTTTAGTCCTGCTGGTTATGTTAATAATTCATGAACGACACAATTATCACAGTGATATCTGAAGATGGAGCATATCAGATTACTTCAGGAAACTTACTTGCATTTGTTGATGAGCCATTTATGGTGGTTTAATGAGTGAAATGAGTAAAGAATTGAAGAGCTGCACAAAAAATGTCAACACACCTTTTATGTTTGACCTACCAAGATAGCCTTGTCATCTATATATATAACTGACTAATGTCTTTAGATCTATACTTGCAAGTGTGCCAGTAACATGTCATTTAGTAAACACACATTTACACGAACAACACTCTATAAAAAGATGAGCCAGTAATGATTGCTTGTGATATATTCTGTGTAAGTGGTTGGAGTGGGGAAAAATTAATATATGTTTCCTGTATATATGGACATTTTAAAACCATATGAAAGAAAATATTGTCTACCATATATGTCAGTTTGTACTGTATTTAGCAGAAATAGCTACCACTTAAGCCTGTAGTGCTAAAACAATGGAAAATTGTCCAGAAAAGTTGCTTACACAGGGCCATGCCCCAGTCTTAATTCTTGCTGCTCAATTTCATTAATGTGTTGAGAAAACTGAGAAGTTTTCTCCACTTGTAAGTTGTGACAGGATGGCTGACAGTTCACAGTTCCTTTTATAAAGCTTGCTAATTAGTTGCACTTCTCATGGTAATTACATTGATGTCAAAGGATGAGAAATTTAAATGACTGGGAAAACAGCCCGTTAACAGAGAAGCTAGAAAAAAGTTCACCCTGTTGAGGACATGGCATTTGGAGAGTTTAGGGAGCCAGTCAAGTGTTTGATGTTTAAGTATCTCTCACCCATATGCGATTACCACATTAACCGAGTGGTATTATTGCTGTAACACCTGTCTGGTGCCGGGATGGCCTCAGAAACCTTTGTGCAAGTTCTGAAGAAATGCATTTACTTTATCTACGAGAATAGAGGTGCTGCAATCAGCATTTTTCAGTTTCTAGTTAGTCCTAGTGAATATTTTAGGGAGCAAGTTTTTGTCTCTGAAATGCAGTGTTATCCATAGCCGATCCTCCTTATACGCAAAGTACGCAAGCTGCGTAGGGTCACCGAAACACCAGGGGGCCCCCTTCCTCTCAAAGATTTAATTTTAGTTTTGTTTTTGAATTTGGCCAGCGGTTATGAAAACCGCTCATGTCATTTCTTTTAATGTGGTGCTCTGTCGCCCTGTCTACGTAAAAATCTGTCAAATCATGTAACGTGAATGTCATACAGTGTCTTACTCGAGAGAAAAAAAAACCGTTGAAAGCGTACCGAGCCGCGGAAGAGACACCGTTTCTCAAGCGACAAAGGCGTTTCATTCATTCATAACTCGTCATTTATTCATAACCCCCACCCCACCGACACAGTTTTACGTAGGGCCCCCAGAAGTCTAGGATCGGCTCTGGTGTTATCAGTCATCTTTTAGTAATGCAGAGGTTTCTCCTTTGTGTAGAGAGGTGGTTTAGTGAGAAATTTTTACTTGAAACTTTTGAAGCCTTGAGTTTTATCAGTTTGCTCTCTTGAGGAAAAAAGTGGCTGTGCATATGATTTAGCAAAAAATTCAATATGTTGCCCATGCTTAACATGGGCTTTATTTTCTTCAGCACAGATGAGGCTTTAAAAACATTTGTTTTAATGCTTCACATGGAAGCTGCAGCAATTTGTATGCAATGTCACATTTAGTGGTCGACCGATATATCGGCCGATATTTGGCATTTTTAAAATCTCGGCATTGGCCGATAAGTTTTCCTGTTTGGCCGATGCGTTCGAGGCGGGACTATTATTTTGACGGCGCGACAGACTTTTATTTTGATGGCGCTGAGAACGGCAGCGCCTGGACACACAGTGCTCACATTCTCCCTCTTGTTCGCTGTTTTGGTTAACAGTTCAGTCTAAATACGGATAGAAGTCTGTCTAATAATCAGATAGAACGGTTAAACAAAGAAATTAAAATGTATACAAAAAGTCTTATAACGACTGCTTTTATATTATTAGTAATAGAAAGGCAAACATTGTAATACTTCCTTGTTTGCCGTCAACATTCAGCAAATACGCATTTATATCATTTAAACAAATCTTTGAATGTCTAATGAACATCTAATTTAAAAAACCTTGCAAACTTAGTCGGATCTAGTTGTGAGATCTTGTGAAGTGTGCATTTGTATCCTGCATGATCACGTGTTCTCTGCGTGACGGTCGATCCGTGCGAATTGAATGCTGACCGGAGGAGAGTTCAGCTTCACTGGAGACGCGCGATCAACAAACTTTAAACTCGTGATTTTAAATTATGCTGCGCTTTATGCATTTTCCCACTGTCATATTCATGTCATTTTCACTGTGTGCTGTATGTAAAATGAGTGTTACCTTGGCTTTATTTGAAAAAAAAATATGATTAATCCACACAAACTTCCCAGAATACTGAGTGCCATGTTGGTTACAGTGTTTACTTCCTTTTTAATTATATTTTTATTAAATATTTATTTATATTTGAAAATACTTTGTCATCTAAAGTGTAAGTATGTTTATTTAACACATTTATTTTTTAATCAATTTTTAAATGTCTTAAATATGAATTAAAATACATAAAATTATATCGGCTTTATATCGGCCACCCTGCTTTCCAAGATATCGGTATCGGTATCGGCTGTAAAAAAAAAAACAATATCGGTCGACCACTAGTCACATCGTTCCCCTGAGACCATGTGGAGTTTTATGGACTACTCTGCTTTGTCTTGTGTGAGGATATATAGTGCTTTACAGCCTTTTGTAAAATATATGATTTTCAAGCATTGATTTGAAAATTAATATGCTGTTCTCTTCTGTCAACAGGTGGTAATAAACTGTGCCATTCCCAAGGGGCTGAAATACAACCAGGCCACACAAACGTTTCACCAGTGGCGAGATGCACGGCAGGTGTATGGCCTTAACTTTGGCAGCAAAGAGGATGCCAATGTATTTGCCAGTGCCATGATGCATGCCCTGGAGGTGCTGAACTCTCAGGATGCAGGTGAGAATGCTGTTTTCACACCAGCGTGCAAAGCTTAATGACGTGTGAACTGGGTTCTGTGTTTAAGCACTTTTACACGGCACTACAATAGTGATGCTCAGGATACTTCTGAAGAATCATATGAAGAATCATTTTGGAACTCTTTTAGGAAATTTTGCTGAATCATGTATTAAAAATGAATAATTATGTTCAATGCCATAAATTAAAAGTTTATTAAAATTAAAAATATTAGAGTTAACTAAATAAAAGTGCCACGTTTCTAGAAAGCATTAAAATGGTTAAACACGCATATAAATAAAAAATAATATTTATTATTATTATTATTGTTGTTGTAGTAGTAGTAGTAGTAGTATTTTGGTGTCATTATTACTGTTAGTTCAAAATGATTCATTATCATATTATTTATCATATTACTATTCCCACCATTTGAAAAGTTCCAGGATGTGCATCAGTGATTTTGCACCACAGTAACATCAGGCCATAGCCCTGGTTAAAACACTGTAACGCACATGGCTTATTGCTTTACTGTAAGATCACTGATGCTGCAGATTGCAAAATCTACACTTTGTGTTTTAATTCTGTGTCAGACACTATATTTAAATCTATTAAAAACAGACTAATTAGTAAATGGTCTTTCACTGGTGAGCTCTGCAAAACCTAATTGTGTTCTGTTCTCTGCCCAGTTTGTGAGGTCACATTTGGAGCCAGACTCAGCCTATTGTGCTCAATTAAGTGTAATTTAGCAAACGGGGCCTGCTCACAGGGGTTTAGTTGGCATGTATGTTGTTTATGAGAGTGAGAGTCTGGGTTACCTCTGTTTGCACTGATTAGGTTTAGGAGGAGGTGCCTTGGCTTGTGTATAACACTCTGCATGAAATCCATTTGTCTGCAGTGGTTGTGTGTGCATGTGTGCACACACGTGTCACTTTCGGCCTTTTTCCTCTGCTGTCTGAGACTCTGGCACGGTCACAGCGGGGGGTCATTCCCCACACATCCTTTTGAAAGGATTGTTTGTATCCATTGCAACAAGTTGGATTCTATTCAGTTAGGCTTTCATTATAGGAAAATAGTGTTTCAGTGATGTATAGAATAAATATGAATGTCACAGTTTGATTTTTGGCTTTTAGATCCATGCTTAACCAGAGCTTGTCAGATTATGACGAAATTCTGAGTGGCGATAATTTAGTATTTATATACAACTATATATTTTAATATTTTGATTTAGCTTTTTTAATTTTAATTTTAGTTTAAGTTATGTATGTATGTATGTATATATATATATATATATATATATATATATATATATGCTGTATTTTCCACAGTTCTCTTTTTGTATCTGAGAAGGAAGAAAATGCATTTTGTGAAATAATATTTATTCAAGCACTGCAGGAATGGTGACTGTTGCCATTTTCCATGACCTTCAGTTCTTTGTCTCACTGATCTGACTATGGAAAGTTATCTAGTCACTGCTCTGGGCTCCTGTTATCACCACAGGAAGCTTCAGGCTCTGTGGCCTTATTACTGTCTATTAATTACCTGATAGCACGGCAGTTAATTATGCAAAGCAGTGTTAATTATGCATACTTTGCTGATGTGTGGATAGCCTTGCAGTCCAAGTCCTCTGACTGTTGCGGTCCAAAAAGCATTGAATTATGTAAAATGCTGTTTACTGTGAAATTGTCATTTTAGTCTCAGACCCCACAGACAGAAGCTGTGGGGAACATGGAGAAATGTCTGCTCTTCTCCTGATGCCTTGGGGGGGACAGAGAGGAGTCTTCAACGAAGGAGTTTCGCCTTCGGGATTTTCGTTTCTCCCTCCTCTCATGTGCCTCTCAGCTTTCTTCTCACATCTTGCGTCCACTTTCTCCCTTATTAGAGACTAGGTTTACATTTAGTTACTTTGTGCCAGCGTTGGGGACACTAGCTATTCATAATTTAAGGTAGTTCAACTACAGTCAAGCTGCACTTAACAAAAAAAAAGTAGTTATATATGTTCTGTATTAGCTTGTAGTGTAACTAACTACATTTATGTAAGATATATATTTCTGTATTTCTTTTCTGTAAAATTGTGAAATATTATATATTATTACAATAATTATTTATATATATTTATATAATTATTTATATAATAAATATTTATCTTTATTTTTTAGAATTTTAGCTGAATTTAAGCAATATTTTTTGTGGAAACCATGATACATTTTGTCAGGATTATTTGATTAATATAAAGTTCAAAAGAACAGCATTTATTTGAAATAAAAATAAAATGTTATTTCAACATTGTAAATTTTTATGCATGTAATTAGTATTAAGTATAAATATAGAGATGCACCGATCGATCGGCCATGGATTGAAATGGCCGAATTTTCTTATTGTCGGTTACTGGACGGTATTTTCCTCATGATCGGTGACTGGACGGTCAGTCTCTTCTTTCTGATTCTGAGCCGATCCGTTTCGTTACCAGTGGCACAGGCAATAATGTCAGCCGCGCATTCTCGCTCTTTTCTCTCCCGACGCCCCCTTCTCTCTCTCACACACGTCTCATTCACTCCGGTTAAATAGTGCTTGTATTGTGCATTATTTTAGTCATTCCCGCAGGTTTCGCGCTTACACCAAATGCACGCGCACCACCACTGATCTATATTAGTGGAGCGCACAAACCGCGCTCAGTCTCAAACAGCTTGTGAGCCACAAATACCAAAATGAGTGACTAACTGCGCTAAAATGTTCAAATACATACAAAATTATATCAAAATGCCTGCCTTGGCGAGTATCCAGTTAAACACAGTCAGGAACATTTGGAACATTAAATAGTTGAGAAAGAGAACGCATGTTGTGTAACAGTATATTGGGTCCGTGGATAAACTCTTAAAAGGACCGCAGTCCAATATTCCTGCTGCTGTCTGCCGTGTTAATCCAGTGCCGATCCTAGACTTCTGGGGGCCCTTGCATATAGGGAGGATCGGCTCTGTGTTAATCAAAGAACAAAAGACAAAGAAAATCACTTTCTGCTCTTGACTGAATACGTTTTATAACTTTAATGGTAAACATAAATCTGTATTTAATTTTTACAATGAAGACTACAGAAATTAAAGTAATCAAACGTAAAATAACACTGGATGTGTTATTTTACATTTGATCACTTTAATATGTATGTATGTATGTATATATATATATATATATATATATATATATATATATGCTGTATTTTCCACAGTTCTCTTTTTGTATCTGAGAAGGAAGAAAATGCATTTTGTGAAATAATATTTATTCAAGCACTGCAGGAATGGTGACTGTTGCCATTTTCCATGACCTTCAGTTCTTTGTCTCACTGATCTGACTATGGAAAGTTATCTAGTCACTGCTCTGGGCTCCTGTTATCACCACAGGAAGCTTCAGGCTCTGTGGCCTTATTACTGTCTATTAATTACCTGATAGCACGGCAGTTAATTATGCAAAGCAGTGTTAATTATGCATACTTTGCTGATGTGTGGATAGCCTTGCAGTCCAAGTCCTCTGACTGTTGCGGTCCAAAAAGCATTGAATTATGTAAAATGCTGTTTACTGTGAAATTGTCATTTTAGTCTCAGACCCCACAGACAGAAGCTGTGGGGAACATGGAGAAATGTCTGCTCTTCTCCTGATGCCTTGGGGGGGACAGAGAGGAGTCTTCAACGAAGGAGTTTCGCCTTCGGGATTTTCGTTTCTCCCTCCTCTCATGTGCCTCTCAGCTTTCTTCTCACATCTTGCGTCCACTTTCTCCCTTATTAGAGACTAGGTTTACATTTAGTTACTTTGTGCCAGCGTTGGGGACACTAGCTATTCATAATTTAAGGTAGTTCAACTACAGTCAAGCTGCACTTAACAAAAAAAAAGTAGTTATATATGTTCTGTATTAGCTTGTAGTGTAACTAACTACATTTATGTAAGATATATATTTCTGTATTTCTTTTCTGTAAAATTGTGAAATATTATATATTATTACAATAATTATTTATATATATTTATATAATTATTTATATAATAAATATTTATCTTTATTTTTTAGAATTTTAGCTGAATTTAAGCAATATTTTTTGTGGAAACCATGATACATTTTGTCAGGATTATTTGATGAATATAAAGTTCAAAAGAACAGCATTTATTTGAAATAAAAATAAAATGTTATTTCAACATTGTAAATTTTTATGCATGTAATTAGTATTAAGTATAAATATAGAGATGCACCGATCGATCGGCCATGGATTGAATCGGCCGATTTTCCTCATGATCGGTGACTGGACGGTCAGTCTCTTCTTTCTGATTCTGAGCCGATCCGTTTCGTTACCAGTGGCACAGGCAATAATGTCAGCCGCGCATTCTCGCTCTTTTCTCTCCCGACGCCCCCTTCTCTCTCTCACACACGTCTCATTCACTCCGGTTAAATAGTGCTTGTATTGTGCATTATTTTAGTCATTCCCGCAGGTTTCGCGCTTACACCAAATGCACGCGCACCACCACTGATCTATATTAGTGGAGCGCACAAACCGCGCTCAGTCTCAAACAGCTTGTGAGCCACAAATACCAAAATGAGTGACTAACTGCGCTAAAATGTTCAAATACATACAAAATTATATCAAAATGCCCGCCTTGGCGAGTATCCAGTTAAACACAGTCAGGAACATTTGGAACATTAAATAGTTGAGAAAGAGAACGCATGTTGTGTAACAGTATATTGGGTCCGTGGATAAACTCTTAAAGGGACCGCAGTCCAATATTCCTGCTGCTGTCTGCCGTGTTAATCCAGTGCCGATCCTAGACTTCTGGGGGCCCTTGCATATAGGGAGGATCGGCTCTGTGTTAATCAAAGAACAAAAGACAAAGAAAATCACTTTCTGCTCTTGACTGAATACGTTTTATAACTTTAATGGTAAACATAAATCTGTATTTAATTTTTACAATGAAGACTACAGAAATTAAAGTAATCAAACGTAAAATAACACTGGATGTGTTATTTTACA